CGTGGCGAGGATCTTCATGCCCATGCCTCCGCTGGTGGAGGTCCTGAACATTCGCTGGTGTCCCGCCAGGCAGAGCATCGAGGTGCGATTCCAGATTCGCGTAGACACGCTCTCAGACAGCCTCTACTTCGACGCCGTCTCCGTCTACCGGGTCAACGCGCGGGGCCTGATCTACGAGCACCTGATCGAGAAAGGTGCGTGCCGGGGAAAAGATGAGGGGGGGATCGTGGCGCTTGCCGAATACCTTGTCCTGATTGCTTGCCTCGTGGCCAAGAGGACCTCCTCTAGCTCTTCCTCACCATCTCCTTTCCTGGCGCCTTCCCACAGTGATACGGAACGACCTCTCGGAGAAACCCTCGATCGTCAACCTCTTCTACGCGACACGACAGGTCCTGGTGGGCGGCAAAGTGCCCATCCCGGACAGCGTGGGCATGTAAGGCGGGGAAGAGGGCTGGGAATGACGCGCGGGGGAGACAGGAATTGCGACGAGAAACATGGGGGCAGTGTATAGAGCCGTATCAATCGACACGGCGGACAGGAGGCGGGACAGAGCGTGGTCAGGGATAGCAGGGTTGACAGTGAAAGTGGAGATAGAGCGCAGCTAGCGATGCGCGACAGGCGGAATTCAGAAGGGCTCGTCGACATGCATGGCGGTGCTCCTTGTTTCAGTAGAGAGGGAAGGAGTTGAGACGGCAAGGGAAGAGGGAAAAGGGAGGCGTAGGAAGGGGATCATTTTGCCAGCTTACCATGTGATTAATTTGCCGGTAGGGCATGCTCTTGTGCGCACGCTTCTTCATCCCTGGCGCTTGTTTGACCGGCAGGCGCTGGAGGAGGGAGGCAAAGATCGAGACGCGCGGGGGAAGACGACCACAGACCTGTGTACCTTTCTGAGCTGGAGGGCGGGAGGTTTGGGCCGGGCAGAGGGAGAACTGGGGGGGAAGATTTGGAGGCAAACCGCATGGAATGAAAGAGCCTTGCGGGAAAATGCGATGGGGTGTGGACCGAGCAAAAGGGCATTCGAGGATCGGAAATAAAAGGGTTCGGAGACCACCGACTTGCGGCCAGTGATTTGCTCTTTTTGTTATGTTGTTGTTTTTTTTGTTTGTTGTTTTGTTTGTTTTGTTACTTTTCTACCACTGACCACCTTTCACACATGCCTCGTCGCAACGACCCTACTCCTTTCATTTGCCGGCATAGGTCTCCTATACAGTGCTTTCTCCGGGTCGAGTAGACATCCCGCCCATCCCACCGACTCCATACTCGCCTGTCTCTTTCTCCCCCTCCCGCGCTGGGGCCCCCTTCCCCGTCGAACATCAGTCACGCCCTCCACCGACTCGCGTCCCCCCTCACCCCCAGAAGCCCCGCAAGCCTGTCCGTCTCCGGCCCCTGTCCTCGACCAGGGCCTCCGGGTAGGGGAACGGGGACCCCGCGGGCTCTTCCAGCGTGTACCGGCACGCACGCACCCGGCGCTCTTGCCTGAGAATGCACTCGCGCCGTGCCCAGTCCAGGCGCCAGTACGACAACGGGTGCTGCGGGTTGTTGAAGGGATGGGCGAAAAGACATCGCTCCTGTTCGGCGTCGCAGCCCCACTTCGCGCTCACATAGAGGCGGGAGGACACGAAGCCCCGGTCCAACCGGTTGCTCAGATCCCGTTCCCATTTCCGCAGCTGCGAGTCCCGGGGCTGCCGCTTCCCCTCCTGCCTCCAGTGATCCCGGAGGACGGACGTACCGCTCTTGTACTCGGCACTGCCCAGCCGCCCGTGGTGCAGTGTGGCCGCCACGAAGCGGCGGGGCGGGGAGGTGCACTCCAGCGACCGGTTATGGCGCAGGTCCATCTCCTGGTCCTCGTAGTAAGCGGGGTAGATGTTCTCGTCGAAGCGACCTAGGGCTTGTAGGCCGTGGCGGGTGAAAGCGAAGACCACTGCGTCCGGGCCCGCCGTCACGTTGAAGAAGCCCCGACAGAATTGAGGGTCCTGGTCGTACTCCGCCCACACCTCCTCAGCCAGCGTATCCAGTGCTCCTGGCGGTACGTACACGTCCGTGTTGAAAAGCAAGCACCACTCCACGTCCTCGTGGTATAGCATGTAGTCTAACGCCCGGTTCCAGCCTGGAGCACAACCCAACGCCTCCCGCTCCCGGAAGACAGCCACGTCCGGGAAGTGACTCCGTACGTACTCCACTGCCTTCAACATGCTGGGGTCGCAGCCCCCGGCAACCACCAGCTTGTGTCGAGCCGAGGCGTTCGCCCACCCGTCGAGCAAGCGGCCTAGGAAACCCTCCGTGTCGTAGTCCAGATTGGTGGCCAGCAAGGGAATAGGCCGAGAAGTTCGACGCGTCGGGTCCACAACGCTGTCATTTTCGGCGTGATGTGCTGGCTTGGTGGGCGTGAGCAAAAGCGTGTCCGTGTTGAGGCAGTCGGTGTAAACCCCCCTGCCCCCGCCGCCGGCGCTCCCGCCAGCTTGCCTTAGAGCCTCGTATTGCGGGCGAGCAACAACCGACCCCAATGATGGGACGCTGTAGGGATGGATTATTGCCACATAGACCACTACACACAAGACGCCGGCTATCAACACTGTCGACCGCCCCTTTCCTGTACAAGGCGTGCGGTCTCCGCCCGGCGGATGAGGCATGCCGCAGAGCCAACCCCTGAGCGGGATTTCGAGATAACAAGAAGCATAAATGAGCACGGTGAATAGAAAATCCATTGTAAGTGGCCTCGATTACTATGACCCGGACCTTTCCGAAGACTTCACAAGGTTATGAGCACGCACGGGAGAGGGGAAAAACCCACTTGCCGATCCGCTCCGCTCGACTCCCCAGACGTGTGATACGAACGCCCACGGCATTGTAACATGGAGACTCTGACCGCTGTTGACACACCTCCCCGCGTGCAAACACCAATTCACTCGCCATCCTCGTCCCGGCACGCCTTGTTGGACTCGCGAACTTGGCAGGAGGGACAGAAATTTGGCGGCTTCACGCAGAAGGAGGGCCCCTTCACCTGGCGGGGAGGCTCCTTTCTCTATGATCACGCCCCCCGGCACTGTGAATCGAAACATGTGTACGGATATGTGTCCACACGGTGTCTTAGTTGTGCAGATGACGTGAAGCCGGTGCCCTCGTGAAGTTGCGGGCACTTCCTGGCGACTGGGCTCCAAAGTCGGTCATGCTTCTTTTCACCTCTTCCTCCTCCGATGCCCAACCCGCTCTCCTACTCTGAATCATGGACAGGTTGATCACACACTGTTGATGTCGTTGTCGAGCAATGGTACCAGTAATGGAGGCGGCAGCAGTCGGAATGGCCCGGTCCTGGATGAGATTGTGGACGCTTGCCTCGCACACAAGAATTGGACTGGTAGAATCATGGTACGTGAGAACGCAGACATTAGTCCCGTCGGGTGCTTGGCAGAGTTGCTCGATCCGAATCAATGCCTTGTCTCTTGTTATTGTGAATGGTTTATGTTGCCTGCGGCATGGATGCTCGGGCCCCTGAGACGGCAAGGCCCTGGTGGGTGATTGTGCAAGACCGTCTTTTGCTTGCGGCCCCGGCCCTCTCCTCACGTCACAGCTCTCTCATCGTCCTTGCCGGACTCACACCACGCCCCTCACCCGCAGGACGAGCTGGCCCGACTCGCGGACGAGAGAGACGGCCTCCTGACCCCTTTCGCCCTTGAACACCTCGCCACGCTGCCTGCCCCCAGCTTCGTCGCCTCGGGGGCGCCGACTCTGCCCCGGCTCGGCGCCCAGCAGAGCGCCCCTGCGCCCCTTGACAGGAGGGAAGAAAAGACGGACAGGGGCCCCGATCGTTCGCAGGTGGAAAGCGCGGTGGTGGAGCACTTCTTGGACGCGGTCTTGCGCCCACTCCCAAAGCAGGAGCCCGTGGATGCCCCAAAGAGCGGGGACACGGCGGTCGGGGAGACGTCTCCTCTAAAGGGCCAGGAGTCAAGGGCGGTGAAAGAATCGGACGGGGGAAGGGGGGGAAAGCGATATGGCGAGGAGGAGGAGGAGGAAAAGGGGGAGGAGGAGGAGGAAGAGGAGGAGGAGGAGGAGGAGGAGGAGGAAGTCGGAGAGGGGGGGGAGGAGGAGGAAGGAAGGGCCGTGCGCGAGGAGGATCAAGAAATGGAAAGCCACGCGGGCGCGTCGGCTGGAGAGGAAAGGGAGATACAGAGAAGATCAGAAGGCGTGGGCGAATCCACGGAGAGGCGAGAGGACGGCAGCGACAGGCA